CAACAGGATCCTGAAGACAGATTGGATGTCGCATTTTGCTAGCAACGCCCTTAGGCCTGATGCCTTAATCTTTGCTATGGCATGGTAAAAAAAATTCACAGTGCATAGTATTCTTCTGAGATGAGGTCATTAACGGATGCCCCTTGAAGGTAGGATAAGTGGTGAATTAAGCAGTACTCCCCACAGGTTAGATACCACCCCCCACAGGTTTTCTTTAGGGGGATACAAGAATAGACCCGCTAAGCTGCTCACCTTTAGCTATTTACTAATTTTTGCATCCACTACATGTGATGTGGTGGTGCTGCAGATTAAACCGCAGAAGCCTCTGTGCTGCAAGGTCAGAAGACCTGCAGTTGTAAGATCGAATCCACGCGATGGAGTGAACCCCCTTTGCTCGTCCCAGCTCTGCCAACCTAGCTATTTGAAAGCATGCAAAAATGCAAAATGCAAGTAGATAAATAGGTACCACCACGGTGGGAAGGTAACGGCGTTCTGTGTCTAGTTGCGCTGGCCACGTGACCACGGAAGATTGTCTTCGGACAAACGCTAGTTCTATGGGTTGGAAACAGAGATGAGCACCGCCCCCTAGAGTCGGACATGACTGGACAAATTGTCAAGGGGAACCTTTCATGTGATAGCGCTTGGGCAGTTTTTAAATAATCTGCACCTGTTGCTACCTGAGATCCTACATAAGGTATCTTGAAACCTTTATGGAAACTCTCCCACAAGTATGGGAGCTGCCTTCTGATTTTTACAAGCCAGAAGGAGGGTGCACAAGTAGACAGCCTGATAGGAGTCTTGTCCATCAACCACGTTTAGTTTAGTCATTTAGTCGGGTCCGACTCTTTGTGACCCCATGGACCAGAGCACGCCAGGCCTTCCTATCTTCCACTCCCTCCCGGAGTTGCATCAAATTCATGTTGGTTGCTTCGCAGACACTGTCTAGCCATCTCATCCTCTGTCGTCCCCTTCTCCTCTTGCCGTCACACTTTCCTAACATCAAGGTATTTTCCAAGGAGTCTTCTCCTGAGATGGCCAAAGTACTGGAGCCTCAGCTTCAGGATCTGTCCTTCCAGTAAGCACTCAGGGTTGATTTCCTTTAGAATGGATAGGCTTGTTCTCCTTGCAGTCCAGGGGACTCTCAAGAGCCTCCTCCAGCACCACAATTCAAAGGCATATATTCTTCAGCAGTCAGCCTTCTTTATGGTCCAGCTCTCACTTCCATATATCACTACTGGAGAAACGATAGCTTTGACTATGCGGAGTTTTGTTGGCAAGGTGATGTCTCTGCTTTTGTCACGGTTTGTCATCGCTTTCCTCCCAAGAAGCAGGTGCCTTTTAATTTTGTGGCTGCTGTCTCCATCTACAGTGATCATGGAGCCCAAGAAAATAAAATCTGTCCCTTCCTCCATATCTTCCCCTTCTATTTCCCAGGAGGTGATGGGACCAGTGGCCATGATCTTAGTTTTTTTGATGTTGAGTTTCAGGCCGTTTTTTGCTCTCTCCTCTATCACCTCTATCATTACAAGGCTCTTTAATTCCTCCTCACTTTCTGCCATCAGAGTGGTATCATCTGCATATCGGAGGTTGTTGATATTTCTTCCAGCAATCTTAATTCTGGCTTGGGATTCCTCCAGTCCAGCCTTCCGCATGATGTAGTCTGCATATAAATAAGCTGGGGGACAATATACAGCCTTGTCGTACTCCTTTCCCAATTTTGAACAAATCAGTTGTTCCCTATCCAGTTCTAACTGTCGCTTCCTGTCCCATATATAGGTTTCTCAAGATATATATAAGGTGGTCAGGCACTCCCATTTCTTTAAGGACTGTGGTCCTCACAGTCAAAGGCTTTTGCGTAGTCAATGAAGCAGAAGTAGATATTTTTCTGGAACTCTCCGGCTTTCTCCATAATCCAGCGCATGTTAGCAATTTGGTCTCGAGTTCCTCTGCCCCTTCAAAATGCAGCTTGTACTTCTGGGAGTTCTTGATCCACATACTGCTGAAGCCTACCTTGTAGGATTTTGAGCATAACCTTGCTAGCATGTGAAATGAGTGCAATTGTACGGTAGTTGGAGCATTCTTTGGCACTTCCTTTCTTTGGGATTGGGATGTAGACTGATCTTTTCCAATCCTCTGGCCACTGTTGAGTTTTCCATCAACCACAGGCTATCCCTAACCCTATGAGATCTACTTCCAAGCCCCAGAAGTGGGAGCAGTGGAGGGGGCCCCCACCATCCTATTGTATGTTGAGTTTGGAGGGTGGTCTGACTCCCCAAAAGGGCAACTGAGAGATCTGTTGCCAGAGGCACAAAACGTGTGGGTGTGGGCCGAAGTAGCTGTTGTAGTCATGGTCAAACCTGCAACACTGCCTACCATATTTCCCTGCAATATTTTCCCAGCTATTTTTTTTTTGGTGTTGTCCTTCCTCCCCCATCACAGTGATTTGCTCCCTTCCCTCTTCTCCTTAATATGTGGACCCACTTCAACTAGCCACGGTTAATCATTAATGAGGTCCCATCTTGCATTAGCACTCTAGGACTCTCATTTCCTAAAGACCTCATCATGTTCTATTGTGGGACCTTCACCTGCTAAATTTCTAGCCAATAAACATTACACAAATGGTTTTTTTAGATGCCAGTCCCTCTCCAGGTAAGCTGTCTGGAAAATCCCCATATATTCTGTGTAGCCTGAGAGTCAGTTGATTTCCTTTAGAAAAGCCCCTTCTTTTCTGAAGTTCTTCCTTGTCCTGTCCCTACTCTTAGTGTACCCCCTTCACCTTCTGGGTTAATCAAAGTGAAAACACAATAGCCCTCTATAATTTGCTCCCAAACCATCCTGGAAAGATGTAGACCAGGGGGATCCTCATTTGTAAAGGATGGGCCTGCCCTAGCACCATTTGATCACCCTGCATTCCATACTTCATGAGATCCCTCCTGTGCTGTGTCCTGCCTGTGGACTGCCCAGTAAGGCATTGCCAGGACCTGTGTAGCCTCCCTCCAGTAATCCCCTGATGCCCCATGCACATACTCATCCAAGGAGGACTCACCCGAAGTGGTATCTGTAGAAGACGAGTCTGTTTGCCTGGTGGCATGCTTCCTTCCCCTTGTGTATGCCGTGCCTGCCTCCTCTTTTTCCATTGTCTCTTGCATCATATTTCTGGACTCAGAGTACTGGAATCACTGGAGTCCCAGGCCTCCCCCTCTGATTGGCCCTCTTAGTTGGTTTCCTCTTGCTCTGCCACAGTACTCCTTAATGCTTCTGCCTGTGTGAGGGTCCCCAGCTGCTAAGTAATCTGCATCAGGGCTTGAGAAATATTCTGCAAGATTTCCTGCTGCCTCTCAGCCAGCGTATTCAGGTGCTGACATGCAACAAGGGTGGCCATGCCCCTCAAGAGCTGGGGCCTGGGAACACTGTGTCGTCCTGCCCATGTATGGGTGTTATAAGACCCAGGGTTCGCCTCTGGTGCCAGTTGGCTATTGGGTGCCTTCTTTGGCTTGTCTTTAAAGAGCTATCGCCTCCTCCTGAAGCATGCTTGTATGCCTCACCTGCTGCCCTGATATGCCAGCCAATAACTAATCTGGGCTGGCTCTACTGGCCTAGGACAGTTAAATGATCCTTGCCTTTTTCGTACAAGGAAGGGGTGGAAGTTTTATTCTGTGGGATCATACAAACTGGGGGGGGTGTGTGTTTAACCTAAAACAATGCAACCATGAATTGTCGTCCTACCTCTCTATGGCAATATAGCCATGCACTGAAGAAAATGCCAGTATTGCACTCCCAACTCCAAAGATTAACAGTCCCACAGGCCAAGGAGGGCTGTGGCCTTCGGAAGAATACTGCCACACAGAGAGGCGTGCCCTGCTGCCCAATACTGGTCTTCTCCTCCTCCTCCCTTTTCAAGACGGCCAAGCCCCTTACTGGTGATTTCAGCTCCCTTTGTTAGGATATATAAGTATACATTCCAATGTATGCCCTGCAGCTCTTGTTTTTATGGCAAGCCTCTGCAAGGCAGCCCAGCAGCTGGGAACAAAAAGGATGCTGGCCCTTTGTCCCATTGCTCCTCTGTCCAGCTTTCCTTTCTCCCCAGTCCTCCTTTCTCTTTCCTTGTTCTTTTGGTCTTCATAACTTGCTGCATTGCCCTTTGCTTGTCATCCTCTCTCAGCCATGCCTTGCTACACCGTCTCTCTCCCTTGCTGGTTCTGCACCCAATGTGTCCCAGAATAGTGCCAAGCCTCAACTGAGGCTTCAGCTGATACCCCTCTTATATGCTGTGTTGGTGGACCAGAGTGAGAGCTCCACTCCTCAGGTCCTCCAGCAGCAATCTTCCCCACCCCTGGTCAGACTAGCCAATCAGATTCATCCAGCATGATCCAGCTGAGTGCTCTGCTTCCAGGATCCCCTGCGGCACAGCCACATTCCAGCCCCATGTTGGGGGTGCCAGAGCAAGGCTGGGGGAAACTGGGCTGCCACCCCAGGTAAGTCTGGGTACTGTCCTTATTGTCCCTTATTTAAGGAAAATAATTAAGATTGCCAGCAGACTAAGTGGTGTCATTGGGAGTATGGAGGTATAGTGATTTGTTTCCCATCAACTGGGCTGCTGTCAGAAGGGAATGCTGGGGGATGATGTGACCCTAGACCTTTTCACAGTGGTAGGATGACCTCTGGGGCCTACAGAGCATTCCATAATAGAGGCCCTACACAAAATAGTTGAAAATGTGCTACAGTATCAAGCTAAACCATCCTGTCTTTAACATCTGTGTGAGACAATTCAAAGAGAAATTTGAGGGAAACATGCCTAAGAACCCAGAAACTACATTTAAAGCTACTATTCTTAGCCCCCTCCAATTGCAATACTGTTCCTTATAGAGCTGGTCAAAGGATTAATAATATCCAATAATTACTTTGTACATTTGAAATGTGCTTCATAGAGTATAGCTGTATCAGATCTCTATCTTAACTACAAAATTGACTTGAAGGTGTGCTTTCTGTTGGTTTTCTAGTTCCTGTGTTGAGTGTCGTGCCTTTGGGAGTGGCGCATTTCAGAAGAATTGTTCACAAGCTTGTTCAAACATTAATCTGGACAATAATGCTAGACCCAAAAGTAACGTGGTAACTCATATTAAATCATGCAAGGAGAAGGATTCCCAAAATTGCTGGATTTCCTACACTATGGTTCCAATGGATGGAGAAGAAAAGTATTTTGTTGAAGTCAATCCTAAGAAAGGTATGGGTGGCACAATTTCACCTGCTCTCAGTTCTAACAAATTGGACAGATGGTTTGGCCATCATCGCTCTCACTCCAACAAAATCTTACTGGCAAAGGCTGACCCCAATCAAGCAGGGTGCCTCAGTGAGTAATCAAGAGTTGCAACAATGTTGGTCAAACTGTAGGTCCCAATCTATATAGCTTCGCCCTTACAACGTTCTGGATGGATGGTGCTGTAATGAGACCATTTACTTCATTTTCAACCTCCTTACAGTGCCCTATAACACACCATTGCTGTGTTGTGCCTCTCTTCAGAGATAGGGTCTTTCCTCTTCTTTATAAATATATGCTTAAGTTCTTTTTCAAATACACAGTATGAAAATATGCAATATGTCCAATGTTACCAAAGATGCGATTTCTAAGATTTTCTATTATAGAGAGGCCAAGAAGGGCACAAAAGCTGGAGTCAGTTTAAACTTGCAAGCAGCACTGGGTTTGCTCTCTACAGGTTGATGCAGGCCATATCTTTTCAGGACGGGGACTTCCAAGGAGCAGGGGCTGTATTGGCTTCCAACTCCTAAGTTAAAATGCATCTTGTTTTAAAACAGAATCATGCCTCGAATTCCATTAGCACAATTCTACTTCAGAAGAAGACTGTAAACCTGTGTACTGCAGATACAATGGGAGGGGCCTGATAGGACGCTCTTCCTTTTGGCATGAAAAAGTGACTGTGTGAAGAGGGGGAAACTGCTCATGGATACTCTCTGCGGGGGCCAGAGCCCTGAGTGTCTGTTCTGTCTCATAGGAATAGCCTGTACAGTGGTGCCTCGCTTAACGATGATAATCTGTTCCAGGAAAATCGCAGTTAAGCGAAAACATCGTAAAGCAAAATTAAAAACCCCATTGAAACGCATTGAAACCCGTTCAGTGTGTTCCAGTGGGGTAAAAACTCACTGTCCAGCGAAGATCCTCCATACGGCGGCCATTTTTGGTGCCTGTATAGCGAGGAATCCGTCCCTAAGCACAGTGGGGAGCCATTTTAATCACCCGGCAGCCGTTTTGAAAACCCGACTGTCAGCTGTTTTTGATCGTCGTAAAGCGAAAATCGGTTCCCGAAGCAGGGAACCGATCATCGCTAAGCGAAATCCCCCCATTTAGGCCATCGTTTTGCAATTGCAATTGCGATCGCAAAAAGATCATCGTAAAGCAGATTCGTCATAATGCCGGACAATCGTTAAGTGAGACACCACTGTACTTGACAGGGCTGCACCTCCTCTTCAGACTGTTGCTTTTCTATGCTCAATCTTGTCTACTAAGCAGCAGCAGAGGCAATTGGGATAGCATGCTCCATCATGTGCTTTAAAAATGCCTGAATAGGGCTGTAGTGTATGTTTTCTCTGTGTGTAAAGAAAAAGGTTGTTGCTGTTTTTGTTGTTGCTTCAGTGCTGCAGAAATGCAGCATTGAGGGGCTTGGAGGGGCATATATGTTCTTCTTTAAGCTTCTAAAGCCACACAGATGAAAGGTCTTTCCCAGCTGATTGACTGATTGAGGATGAAGCAACTTTTCACCAGACTAGGAAGCCTTTCCTAACAAGATTTGATAGTATTTAAAGAATCTGTAACTGTAAAAGAATTCGAGGCAATCTTACCTATAATTGCAGGTGTTGAACCATGTTATGTGGAGCTGCCTTTGAATATGTCATTCCAAATTTTAGTCAACATTATAAGGGAAATATTTTTAACTTTAAAAAAATCTGTAGTATTGGTATGGATTTGTGATACATTCCCAACATATGTATACTCAGTTTCTTTTCTCCATGAGATAATGCAAGTTTTCTGCCTTCTCTCTTCTCTTTATAGAGTGTCCAGAGCCCCCCAATGTTGCAGCCATTGTTGGTGGCACAATTGCTGGCGTAGCTCTAATTGGGCTTCTTCTCCTTCTGATTTGGCGACTAGTAACAGAGCTGATTGATCGCAGGGAATATCACAGATTTGAGAAGGAAAAGTCCAAGGCAAAGTGGAATGATGTAAGATTTGATTGAAGTATTCGCGAAGGCTTCCATGGCTGGAATCTAATGCTTGTTGTGGGTTTTTTGGGCTCTTTGGCCGTGTTCTGAAGGTTGTTATTCCTAATGTTTTGCCAATCTCTGTGGCCGGCATCTTCAGATGTAGTATCCCTGTTCACTAAGGTACTGATAAAGGACACTCTGACACTCATCCAGCAGATCTTTCCAGAAGACATCAAGGCCCTCTTCCAACACTGCCTAACGACCAGCTATTTCCAGTGGGATAATGAATTCTATGAACAGACAGATGGAGTGGCCATGGGGAGCCCCCTCAGCCCAGTTATAGCAAACTTCTACATGGGGCATTTTGAAAAACTTGCCCTGGCTTTGGCACCCCTCGCACCCACAGTCTGGTTCTGATATGTGGATGACACCTTTGCATTTTGGAGCCACGGTGAAAAAAAATTGGAAGAATTTCTCAACCATCTCAACAGCATCCACCCAAATATACAATTCACCATGGAAAAAGAAATAGAGGGCCAACTCCCATTCTTAGATGTCATGGTCCTATGCAAAACTGACCTCCGACTGG